CCCTACACTTAAGATTTTTGTTTCCCACAGAATCTAGAAATATGCATTTATTGTTATCATCTTCATCAAATTTAATACATCCTTTATTATATAGAACTTAGAGAATAATGTGTGTGGGAAAGGATAGAACAGAATGGACATGACCTCCTCAGATTCTGAAAGCAGGACCATAGTTCATGGAACACCGCCTAACTAGCTAATTACATATATTATTAAATTTATATTAATAAACTTAATTAAATGGGAAGTAATTCTTTCTTTCTGGGTGAAATGTTTTATATTTCTTTCCATGATATTTGAAGGTCAATAAAAACCAGATGATATATATGTGCTACAAATAACTTTTCTTGGTTCTTCTAAATATAGTTATATGTGAAAATGAGATAAATATTCTCATTTTTAATCTGTTGTCTTTGTTCTTTATTGAGATATAACTCATATGCTATATAATTCACCCATTTAAAGTGTATATTCAAGGGTTTTCAGTATATTCACAGATATGTACAACCATCACCACAGTCAGTTTTAGAACATTTTCATCACTCAAAAGAAACTCTATCTTCACTAGCTGTCATCCTCTCTTATCTCCTCCAATCACCCCCATCCAGCCCTAAGTAGTTACCAATGTACTTTCTACTATAGATTTACCTATTCTGAACATTCCATATAATGGGATCATATATGTGGTCTTTGGTGACTGGGTTCTTCTACTTAACATAATATTTTCAAGATCCATTCATGTTGTAGCATGTATCAGTACCTCATTCCTTTTTTTATTGCAGTAAAAACCACATTAACATAAAATTTACTGTCTTATTATTAATTGTGTAATTCTGTGACATTAAATACATTCACACTGCCATGAAACATATCTCCATAACTTTTTCATACTGGATACGTGAAACTCTACTCCTATTAAACAACTCCCCTTTTCCCCGTCATCCCAGCCCCTGGTGACCACCATTCTGCTTACTGTTGCTAAGAATTTGACATATAAGTGGAATTATGCAGTATTTGTCTTTTTGCGGCCGGTTCATTTTCCTTAGCATAATGTCTTCAAGGTCCATGCATGTTGTATCATGTGACAGTATATAAATACATACACCACATTTTGTTTATCCATTGATCTGTTGATGAACATCTGGGCTGCTTCCACCTCTTGACTATTATGAATAGTGTTACTATGAACATGGGTGTGAAAATATCTCTTTGAGATCTGCTTTCAATTCTTTTGGATACAAACCCAGAAGCAGAATTGATGGAACATATGGTATTTCTATTTTTAATTTTTTGAGGGAACTTCTTAGGATTTTCCATGGTGGTTGCACTATTTTACAATCCTACCAAGAGTGTACAGGGGTTCCAATTTCTCCACATTCTCCTCAACACTTGTGATTTTCTGGGTTTTTTTTTATAGTAACCTATTAGTAACCATCCTAATAGGTATGAAGTGATATCTTGTGGTTTTGATTTGCATTTCCCTAATGATTAATGATGCTGAGTATCTTCTCATATGTTGTTGACTATTTGTATATCATTTTTGGAGAAACATCTGTTCAGATTTTTTGCCCAATTTTAATTGAATTATTTGATCTTTTTGTTATTGAGCTATAGGAGCTCTTTGTATATTCAGGACATTAACTGTTTATCAGATACATGATTTGCAACTATATTCTCTCATTCCATAGATTGCCTTTTCACTCTGTTGATTGTGTCGTCTAATGCACAGGTTTTTTTTTTCTATATAATCTTTTTTTAGGTCTTTTATTTAATTCCAGTATAGTTAACATACAACTTATAGTGTTGTATTTTTTCAAGGGTACAACATAGTGATTCATTCAGTGCTCATCATGATAAGTGTACTCTTTAATCCCCATCACCTATTTCCCCCATCCCTCCACCCGCCTCCCTCTAGTAACCTTCAGTTTGTCCTCTATAGTTAAGAGTCTATTTCTTGATATGTATCTCCCTCTTTGTTTTGTTTCTTAAATTCCACATGTGAGTGAAATCATACGATATTTATCTTTTTCTGACTGACTTATTTTGCTTAGCATTATACTCTCTAGCTCCATCCATGTTGTTGAAAATGGGAAGATTTCATTCTTTTCAAGGCTGAATGATATTCCATTGTGTATATATATCTATATATACATATATATACACCATATTTTCTTTATCCATTCATCTGTCAGTAGACACAGGCTGCTTGCATAATTTGGCTATTGTAAATAATGCCATGTATCATTACATATCCCTTTCAATTAGTGATTTTGTATTCTGAGGGTAAATACCCAGTAGTGATGCATAAAAGTTTTTGAGTATGATGTGGTCCTATTTGTATATGTTTGCTTTAGTTGCCTGTGCCTTTGGTGTCATACTCAGGAAATCATTACCAAAACCAAAAAACAGACTCTTGACTATAGAGAACAAACTAGATGGCTACCAGAAGGAGGTGGTTGAGGGGATGGGTGAAATAGGTGAAGGGAGATTAGGAAGTACACTTGTTGCAATAAGTGTTGTTGATGTATGGAAGTATTGAATCACTATATTGTACACCTGAAACTAGTATTACACTATATGTTAAGTAACTGGAATTGAAATAAAAACTTTAAAAAAAAAAAAGCTGAGGCCCACTTATATCATTGGGAGAAGTATTTCATCATAAAATCAGAAATTACTCAAAAAAATAAAGAAAATATTTCATCTATTAATCACTGTTATAAAAAAAAATCACTGCCACATCCAACATCATAAAGTTTTCCTGTATCATTTCTTCTAAGAATGTTATAGTTTTAGATTTTATATTTAGTTCTTTAATCCATTTTGAGTTAATTTTTATTAACTCAGAAGGTGTAAGGTAAGTGTCCCACTTCATTCTTTTGCATGTGAATATCCAGTTTTCCCAATAGCAACACCATTTGTTGAAAAGACTGTCCTATTCCTATTGAAGATCATTTGACCCTTACTGAAGATCATTTGACCGTATTATACGCAAAAGTTTATTTCTGAACCCTCTATTCTATTCCATTTGTATTAGTTAGGGTTCTCCAAAGAAAAGAATATATATATATATATGTGTGTGTGTGGGTGTGGGTGTGTATATATATATATATATATATACACACCCACACACACACATATATATATATATGATTATATAAAAATGATGAGATTTATTGTGAGGAATCAGCTTCCATGATTATTCTGAAGACCCAGGAAAACCAGTTATTTTGTACCTGGAAGTTTATACTTCTTAATTTCCTTGTGCTATCTTTGATTATTAACTATTACTATTAATGAGTTATTCAAAATCCCAGTAAAGCCATTCTCTTAGGATCTGAGCTAGGGTAGAGTTTACATTTTCATGAACCACACCAGGCCAGATTGGTTCCAGGCAAGGAGCCACGTAGGGAGGTTTACTGTGATCCTGGGCAAATGCCATGGGGCTCACCATCAGGGACTACCTTAGAGCTTCAGGTTCATTGGCAGTTAATATTATATAAGTGAATCCAAACTAGACTCTGGTTTCACCACTTTGTTGGTCTTACTAAATATCAGTCCATAGCTCCAGGATAGCTCCAGAATAGCTATAACCTTCTAGGAATATCTGAAGCTAGAATCTGCTAAGAAGTTCTCCCTTCCAGTTCAGCTATCACCTCCCTAAAAGGAAAGAGTATCACTGTCACTGTGGATCAGAGTACAAAATTAAAAATCTCTCTATAGTTACTTCTGGGTCCTGGATCTGGAAATCAGAGGCCTTAAGAGGCAAGAAGGACAAAGCAAAAAACAAAAACAACCAAACAAAAAAAGATACTCATCTAGCTCTGGAAACAATGGAGTTTTCTAATTATATGAACATCTCCTGTAAATCAAGTCCTGTATTACTTAATGTCTTTGGAGACAAACTCGATTTTTTTTTCCTTCCCCTCTTCTTCCTTCTCCATCTCCTATTTATTATTATTTTGCCCCTTCGAAATAATAATATAATAAAGACAGATTCTGACTGAAAGATTTAAGGGATTGGTCATGACTCTTGAAACTCTTATTCTTGTTGGCACTAGTTCAAACTCCTAAGCTCTAGTTGAAAATAATTATTATCCAGAGTAGTTTGAATAGTCATTTCACAAGATAGATTATTGGCCCTCTGCTTATTTGTAATCACTAATTTTTTAGGCTAATAAAGCCAAAATCAAAGACTAAAATTCCTTTACTTTTCTTAAGAAAACAAACCTTTTTTAATATAAAATGATATTTTATCATTATAAAAACTTGGAAATTTTCAGAAAAGTATACCAAAGAGAATAAAAAGCATACATAATTCTAACACACTAAAATAACAAATGCTTTATATTTTCATGAATGCCCTTCTCATCTTTTTCTATTGACATTACACATCTGTCTTATCATAGTAAAAATTACACACTACATGTGCAGTTATGTATGTTTTTTAAATATGTGTCATAAGAATTTTCCTGGTCAATGAATATTCTTCATAAGTATTAATTTAACCTGCAGAATATCTTATCATAAAGATAGATCATTACCTACTTAAATTTCTGTATTATTGATCTTTTTATTTCTTTACTTTTCCCACTAATGTAAACAACTAAAATAAACATGTGCATAAAGTTTTATCTGTTTTCTTAGGATAGCTTTCTAGAAATGAAATTACTGGATCAACAAATATGAAGATGTTCAAGAATTGGCTTTTTAAAGAAAGTCATATTTGGGTTGTTAAAGAATTAAGGACACAACAAATTAAACACATCTTTGATGACTGTGTACTCATATTCAAATAATCTCTGTGAACATAACTGTTAATTGACTGAATCTAATCTTTCATTTCAGACATAAGGATACATTTCTTCTGTCTCCAACTCCTTGGGATAGAAATCAGAATATTAGCCTTGTCAGACAGGCATTTACCCACCTTGTTCATGACTGCCTGTTTAACCCATTGCTCTCAGAATCGATGTTTTTCTTATTTTCTCTTTTTTCAGATGGAATGGGGCGAGTCCTTGCTCAAGATGTATATGCAAAAGACAACCTACCCCCCTTTCCAGCATCAGTAAAAGATGGCTATGCTGTTCGAGGTAAATATCTTGGGATTTTTTTGAGGATCATCACACTCATATTGTGTGTGTGTGTGTGTGTGTGTGTGTGTATTTTCCTTCAGATTTTTTAGCTCAGCCTAGGCACCCAATGAGTTATACATTTTTTTCCTGCTTGGTTTTCAAGATAATTTTATTCACAGATAACAATCTGGACTAAAACTTTTCAGTGAAAGTACTGTCGTTACTTGAAAAATGTTTGTTGACAAATAAATATGTAGAAATGGATAGAAACACTGTATGATAATTTATTCTTTCGACCTCTACACATACCAGGTAGCAGACAGTCTTGGTCTGGAAGTTTTCCATGTTTTCTAGTTGAAAACATCTATGTGGTCCAAGACAGAAGAGCAGATTCCCAACACAGGGATCATTTAGGGTGGGCTTTTCTTCTGTTTTAAACTCAACATCAATAAGGGCTACAAAAAAAGCAAGCACAAGGGAAACCTCTAATTCCCTGGAAGAGCTGAATTTCAAAGCTCTGAAACCTCAAATGGTACCAGCAGCTCATACCTTTGTGCAGTTCCCTGAGATTGCATAAAGGTTAAAAGCAGATACTAAATAGCAATTACCTGCTTAAAGTCTAATTTAAGAACCCAAAATGAAAATGTAATGGAATTATATAGAAACTATTATTGATTATTAACTTGGGGCTGATATTATTGAATATCTAAATATCTAAAAACATTTCCCAGCTTATCAGAGCTGTTAAGGCCAGTTCCTTTTTAATGGTTCTTTAGGGAGTCTCTTACTTATTTGTTGTTTTTATTCTACATAGCCATTAAAATAATTTCATTTTTATAATTAAATATATTCATTAGTCTCCTCCATATTCCATTACTATTTCTTAGCAGTATCTTTTTGTGTTGGAGGCTATAAGCAAACAGTTATGGTTATGTTATGGTTATGATTATGGGCTTTGAAAACAAAGTAAGAGTGATCTGGGTCCCAGTACCAGTTTGATCTTTATAACTATGAGCATTAAGTATACATTACTTAAACTTTTTGAGCTTCAGTTGTCTCATTTGTAAAATGATGATAATTATAACAATACTTACCCCAACAATTTGTTGTGAGGATTGACTGAGAACCTAGAAAGCCTTAGTAAAGTATCTGGCACCAAAAACAAGCACTCAATAATTGTTTTATAAAATGTTTGATAATGGTAACTATTACTATCACTATCATTATTATAAACACATTTCCTTAGACCATCTCTGAAAAAGAGGTTAACATTTATCTGAATTGCTACTCTCCTGTTCTATGTAAATAAAATGTTGGAGAGATTAATTCCTACTAGTGTATTCTTTCTCAGGGATACTATCTTGGATGTACCTCATTCAGCTTTATTTCAGTAAATTCGAGTATTTCTGAAAACATGAGTAACAAATTCCTGGTGGGTCTTATGATTTTTTTCTTCCAAATTTATTCTACCTATGGTGCTTATTTTAATGAATATTGTCCAGAAAGAAAATTATTTCAGTCTCCTGATAGCCTCATTGGCTCCTCTTGTTTCTTGTTCCTCAACTAAAATGTGAGTTCTGTTTTGAACTTATAATTGGTAGCCATATAGAATTACTATAAAATCAAAAAGATTCTTAATTCCAGAGTAGAATAGACAACTTTAGCAAGTGAACTACCAAAGGGAAAAGAAAGTCTATTTTTTACATTCTTGGTAATATAAAGAAGGAGAAAGTGAGAAAATAAATTGAAGCAGAATTATTCTCAAACAGAATGTTGTCCTGTGATTTTTACATGAGATAGCAGCATCTCAATAAAAAGAAACTATTGTCTTAGCTTTTCCAAAAAAGAGTGACTAGCCTACATGAGCCTTAAAAGAGCCTTTCTGCTACCATGGAATCTACCAAAGAAATTTTATATAAAATTATCATCTGGTCTCTTATTTATTCTTTTGTTTTAAAACAGTGGTGTTTTCAGCTATTTCACACACACACATACACACACACACACACCAATTAAAAACATCTAACATGTCACAATATAAAACGTTCAGCAGATTATCATGTAACTTATTCACAGTATTTCTTTTCTGTGAAGTGTTGCTAACTCCAAGATACAGAATATGTAACAGAGACATAATACATAACAGATAACCATTGTGGATATGGTTAAATCTCAAAAATGGGAATATTTGCTGTGTCTATATATACATACCAACATCATAATTAAGGCAGCAAAAGCTATTGGTGAACAAAGACGCATGGTCCCAGTCTTTTCTATGTTAGAACACCCTCAGGCAGTGTTTGGTAAAGAATATCCTTGAGGCTATTGTTGTGGCTCTCTACCACTACTTCGTGTACCTTCTTCTCTCCACCCCTATCTTCCTTTACTCCCATTCCTTTCTCCCCACTCCCTTTATTCTCCCTTTTTTCTTCTCCTCTGCCTTTGCCGTAGGCCTTCCAGTAATAACCAGTGGCATCTGTGAGCATTGCTAACCCTGTAGGTGTAAAGAGGTTCCTAACTTGCTCTGGATCACTAAGCATTAGCCAGTATCCTTCAGAAACATGTGGCATAAAACCCCAAACCAGTTGGAGGATCACTTGCTTTAAGGTATGTGGGTTGAAGAAAAATCAAGACAGTAAAAAATGACTGAGCAAATAAGAAATAGGAATGGCTTTTTAAAAAGAAAGAAAGAAAAAATAGAGTTTAAAGAAGGTAGAAATCAAGTGATGACAATATAATAGGAAGACCTGTAACCTAATAAACCTAAAACTGCATTTAGGATGGAGGGGGTTTTTTTGTTTTTTTGTTTTTTAAGAGAAAAAAAAAGGCATTAATTTTGGGTGCTGGCAGCTGGGGAAAGTGACAGGCTCAAGTCTTAACAATCGACCTCTCCCAAGGATGGAATGAATTTGAAAGATAGAAAATGAAAGTAGCATGTTACCCCTTAATTAAGATCAATACAATATTTTTATTAATATTTTTGAAGAGTTATATCCCTTTGCACTGATTAAGCTAACCATCTTGATGCTTTTCCACCTTCCCCTACAAATGTGGATGCCTATTATCTCACAATTTCTTCGTAGATGTTAATAAGGGAAAAGTATCTCACATCCCAAATTCAGCTTTCTTGAAACTTTTCAATTCGAAAGGCTTATGCCTACAAAAGTTGTTTTACAGAGATGATTTAGAAAGAGGGAAAAGTCTGAACAAGCCACTAATTATTTTGAGAACCATGTGTAACAATTCTGGAAGGATAGAAGACAAATCCTTGCCACTGGGTTAAAGTAAATTTTAATTTTTTTCTTTTCTATTTCTGATTGAAATAGGTACTTATGAAAAATACAGAAAATCAAAAAGAACATTTAAAATTTACCCATTGTATCACTCCCTAAACACTATTAACATTTTGTTGTACTTCCTTCCAGTGGGTTAAACTGCGTACTAAAATTCAGTATCACCTCTGATTTAGAGCTTTTGTTCTTTCACAAAACCCATGTCCCAGGGTTTCTATTTCTTCCACACAGATCCCAGGCCACAGCTGGTTTTCCATTTGATAACCTATTGCCTTCCACTATAGTTCACTGTGGATAAAGAAGAGGACCTTATGATGTGGGAATATTACTCAAGTGAGCAGAGAGATACACAAATTAATTAATTTTGGTCAATTCCAAAAAAACTTAAAATACTGTGTTTAAGGAAATATTATCTCTTTCCCCAATATTACCAATAAATGGGCATTTTTTTTCCTGGAAGATGATGGTAAAGAATATAAAATGCTTTCTCACTCACGTGTCCTACTCTTAACTTCCTGCTTTCCATAAGAAAAAGCCACAGATTTAAAATTCCAAACTCACCTGTTTTAATTCCTCAATATAATTGCAGCAACTATTAATCTTGCTGTGCTAGTCTTATCACCTGCCCTTGCCCCAGCCAACACTTTCTGTAATCTTAATTTCAGTATACACATAAATACTATATACCCTGTCGGCCTATTATCTAGTCTTAGTTTTGTTCCGTAATCAGTTCGTAATTCCTTTGCCTGATTCTTCTGTCACTGATATTTCCTAGGACCTCTGAAAGTTATGCTTTCTCTATAGCCTCAGTTTATTCAGTCCTACCATAGAAATGTTGAAACTCTTTATTATTGAAAATCATAATAGCTACAAGGTGTTTCAAGAGGCTCAAAGGGAGTTCCCATATAGCTGGAAAATGAAAATGAAGGATAGTTCTATGGCAAAGGGCTCAGGGAAGATCATTTCTATACACTGTCACAATAAATAGTTATCTAATGGTATCCATTCAAAAATGATATAATCTTTAAATAAACAGGTAAAGAAGACTAAAGCATTTCCTGGACATTAAAAAAAAAGAAGAAGAAGGTAGAAGTGGGAACAACTTCAGGGTCTAGCATATTAAGCATTATGAATCAGCTATAGAATATACTTGCTGCATTATACAATTTGGTTTATATTGGTTTTATCACTCCCATCAGTTTAAATTCTACAATTACAAAGAGGAAATGAAAACTCATTAAGAGAAATTTCTAAATGTGGGGGGTGGGGATTCTAAGCCTCTTCAGTAATCCCTGGAATCCGTCTGTGTTTTCTAATGACATACTGTGGCTTACTTAGTTTATTTCTTTCCAAGCTTTAGATTCATGTGCAGCATACCTCCACTTCTGCTCCTTCCCACCCAAGTTTGTAGAATTCATCATGAAAATGGCAACTTTTCTTTTACTTGTCTCTTTAATAGATATTTTAAAATAAATATCAGCTAGTTAGATACATCATTGTTTTTCTGTCTTTTTAAAAAATATGAGCCTTGGTGATAATGTAAAATCAGGATTTCTGTTGTAGTTCACTAATTTTTTACTCATTTTTCTTTAAGTCTGAATTTGTCTATTTGAAAATAGACAATCTTAGAGTGTTCTGCTCCTTAGAAAGGGTAGTTCATTAACCAGCGCCATCAACATCAGCTTGTTAGAAATGTAGAACCTCAAGCTCTCTCCCAGACCTACT